AATTTTAAATTTTAAAATTTTGGGGTTAACCCCGGGGGGCCTTACCCCACCCCAAGAAAAGAAACCAACCCCAAAACCCTGCACGGCCCCCTATCCATATGCTTCAGCGCTACCGCCACGGGATGGATATGGGGTGCACAATTAACTAGCTACTTCGGTGGCAAAATCTAAAAATCTACTGCTACCTTCATGTTTGACTGAAGAAGCCTACTATGTGGGCGAAACGTTACATCAATAAAAAAGACCCTAATATTGTCAATGTTTCTTAATATTCAAGTTGTCAATATTTGATACATTTTGAAGATGTGAGTGATGCGCCGCGACGAGTGAACCTTAACACCCACCACCACCAGCACCACCACCAGCACCACCACCCAGCACCACCACCCACCACCCAGCACCAGCAGCACCGCTCAGCAGGTAGTGTAGTCAGCAGCACCGCTCAGCAGGTAGTGTAGTCAGCAGCACCGCTCAGCAGGTAGTGTAGTCAGCAACACTGCTCAGCAGGTAGTGTAGTCAGCAGCACTGCTCAGCAGGTAGTGTAGTCAGCAGCACTGCTCAGCAGGTAGTGTAGTCAGCAGCACCACTCAGCAGGTAGTGTAGTCAGCAGCACCGCTCAGCAGGTAGTGTAGTCAGCAGCACTGCTCAGCAGGTAGTGTAGTCAGCAACACTTCTCAGCAGGTAGTGTAGTCAGCAGCACCACTCAGCAGGTAGTGTAGTCAGCAACACTTCTCAGCAGGTAGTGTAGTCAGCAGCACCGCTCAGCAGGTAGTGTAGTCAGCAGCACGTCTCAGCAGGTAGTGTTAGTCAGCAGCACCGCTCAGCAGGTAGTGTAGTCAGCAACACTGCTCAGCAGGTAGTGTAGTCAGCAGCACCGCTCAGCAGGTAGTGTAGTCAGCAACACTGCTCAGCAGGTAGTGTAGTCAGCAGCACCGCTCAGCAGGTAGTGTAGTCAGCAGCACCGCTCAGCAGGTAGTGTAGTCAGCAACACTGCTCAGCAGGTAGTGTAGTCAGCAGCACCGCTCAGCAGGTAGTGTAGTCAGCAGCACTGCTCAGCAGGTAGTGTAGTCAGCAGCACCGCTCAGCAGGTAGTGTAGTCAGCAGCACTGCTCAGCAGGTAGTGTAGTCAGCAGCACCGCTCAGCAGGTCGTGTAGTCAGCAGCACCGCTCAGCAGGTAGTGTAGTCAGCAGCACCGCTCAGCAGGTAGTGTAGTCAGCAGCACCGCTCAGCAGGTAGTGTAGTCAGCAACACTGCTCAGCAGGTAGTGTAGTCAGCAGCACTGCTCAGCAGGTAGTCATCAGCACCACTCAGCAGGTAGTGTAGTCAGCAACACTGCTCAGCAGGTAGTGTAGTCAGCAACACTTCTCCGCAGGTAGTGTAGTCAGCAACACTGCTCAGCAGGTAGTGTAGTCAGCAGCACCGCTCAGCAGGTAGTGTAGTCAGTCAGCAACACTTCTCAGCAGGTAGTGTAGTCAGCAACACTGCTCAGCAGGTAGTGTAGTCAGCAACACTGCTCAGCAGGTAGTGTAGTCAGCAACACTGATCAGCAGGTAGTGTAATCAGCAACACTGCTCAGCAGGTAGTGTAGTCAGCAACACTGCTCAGCAGGTAGTGTAGTCAGCAACACTTCTCAGCAGGTAGTGTAGTCAGCAGCACTGCTCAGCAGGTAGTGTAGTCAGCAGCACCGCTCTCAGGTAGTGTAGTCAGCAACACTTCTCAGCAGGTAGTGTAGTCATCAGCACCGCTCAGCAGGTAGTGTAGTCATCAGCACCACTCAGCAGGTAGTGTAGTCAGCAACACTTCTCAGCAGGTAGTGTAGTCAGCAACACTTCTCAGCAGGTAGTGTAGTCAGCAGCACTGCTCAGCAGGTAGTGTAGTCAGCAACACTTCTCAGCAGGTAGTGTAGTCAGCAACACTTCTCAGCAGGTAGTGTAGTCAGCAACACTGATCAGTAGGTAGTGTAGTCATCAGCACCACTCAGCAGGTAGTGTAGTCAGCAACACTTCTCAGCAGATAGTGTAGTCACCAACACTGATCAGCAGGTAGTGTAGTCAGCAAGACTGGTCATCAGGTAGTGTAATCAGCAACACTGCTCAGCAGGTAGTGTAGTCAGCAACACTGATCAGCAGGTAGTGTAATCAGCAACACTGCTCAGCAGGTAGTGTAGTCAGCAACACTGCTCAGCAGGTAGTGTAGTCAGCAACACTACTCAGCAGGTAGTGTAGTCAGCAACACTGCTCAGCAGGTAGTTAGTCAGCAACACTGCTCAGAAGGTAGTGTAGTCAGCAACACTGCTCAGCAGGTAGTGTAGTCAGCAACACTGCTCAGCAGGTAGTGTAGTCAGCAACACTGCTCAGCAGGTAGTGTAGTCAGCAACACTGATCAGGTAGTGCAGTCAGCAACACTGCTCAGAAGGTAGTGTAGTCAGCAGCTACTGCTCAGCAGTAGTGTAGTCAGCATTTACTGCTCCGCTGGTAGTGTAGGCAGCAGTTACTGCTCATCAGGTAGTGTAATCAGCAGTTACTGCTCAGCAAGTAGTGCAGTCAGCAGTTACTGCTGAGCAGGTAGTGTAGTCAGCAGTTACTGCTCAGCAAGTAGTGCAGTCAGCAGTTACTGCTCAGCAGGTAGTGTAGTCAGCAGTTATTGCTCCGCTGGTAATGTCAGCAGTTACTGCTCAGAAGGTAGTGTAGTCAGCAGTTACTGCTCGGCAGGTCTCGTAGTTAGCAGTTACAGCTCGGCAGGTAGTGTAGTCAGCAGTTACTGCTCAGCAGGTAGTCAGCAGTTGCAGCTCAGGAAGTAGTGTAGTCAGCAGTTACTGCTCAGCAGGTAGTGTAGTCAGCAAGTAGTGTAGTCAGCAGTTAATGATCTGCAGGCAGTTTATTCAGCAGTTACTGCTCAGCAGGTTATGTAGTCAGCAGTTTCTGCTCAGCAGGTAGTGTAGGCAGCAGTTACTGCTCAGCACGTAGCAGTTACACCTCAACAGGTAGTGTAGTCAGCAGTTACAGCTCGGCAGGTAGTGCACTCAGTTGTTGCTCAGCAGGTAGTGTAGTCAGCAGTTACTGCTGAGCAGGTAGTGCAGTGAGCAGTTACTGCTCAGCAAGTGATGCATTCAGCAGTTACTGCTCAGCAGGTAGTGTATCTGGAGTTACCTGGAGTTTACCTGGAGAGAGTTCTGGGGGTCAACGCCCCCACGTCCCGGTCTGTGACCAGGCCTCCTCGTGGATCAGAGCTTGATCAACCAGGCTGTTACTGCTGGCTGCACGCAATCCAACGTACGAGCCACAGCCTGGCTGGTCAGGTACCGACTTTAGGTGCTTGTCCAGTGCCAGCTTGAAGACAGCCAGGGGTCTATTGGTAATCCCCCTTATGTATGCTGGGAGGCAGTTGAACAGTCTCGGGCCCCTGACACTTATTGTATTGTCTCTTAACCCTTTGACTGTCGCAACCCCCAATCCCGAGGTGTCTCCTGGTGTCGCAAACTTTAAAAACAATAATTATTTTTTCATATGAAATGATAGAGAATCTTTTCCCGATTGTAATGGCACCAAAAAAACGAAATTTGATGGAAAACTGACGGAATTATGCTCTCGCGAAGTTAGCGACCTCGGCGATATTGACAAATCGGCGATTTCGCCCACTTTGAGCCCTATTTTCGGTTAATTCCATTGTTCCAGTCGATCAAACTCATAGCTATTTCTTTAGAACTCCATTTTTTCTATCGATTGAGTACGAGAAACTGCCCATTTACCGATTTCAACTACCCAATAATGTGGTCAGAAATTTGCAATTTAGCCAATTTCACGAAAATTAAAAAAACATGACAATTTCAAAATAAGGTCCAGAATGAACAATGCAGACATTCCTGGCTCTAAAATAACATTTTCTTTGTTCATCAGTCATGTCTCCAGGCCCCTCTGATATTACTCTTGCTTTCTATTTTGAATTTTTATTCAAACAAAAAATAGAAGACTTACTATTATGCAGACTACTGCAATACTGTAATAATTGTATAAATAACATCAACCCATTCATGACTGCATATTAGAATGGCTAGTTGGACATTTATTGGACAATGACATCATTTGTTTACTTTTGAACATCGGCAAAAATCAAACATTTCCCCTACTTTGAGCTCCATTTCCAGGTTCTTTTTATAGTAAAATCAATCAAAATCACCTCTACTTGTAAAATATGTTTTCCATTCTATCAAATGAGACCAAGAAAATGAGAATACAACCATAAATACTATACGAAAATAGACCACAAAGTCGGCATTTTAATTTAAAAAACTGTCGTAGTTTTTTTTTTTCTCATTATGCACTGCATGCTCCAGGATTTCTTTTATATGGTGCACACTGACCACACAGACCCATTCTCTCACATGTAGGCCTACCAGCTTTCTCCTGCTTGATTTGAAGCCGCTAGAATTTATGAG